TTTCCTTTCCTTCATTCCCTTCCCTTCTCTTTCTTTTCCTTCCCTTCCCTTCTCTTTCCTTTCCTTCCTTCCTTCCCCTTCCTTTCCCTTCCCTCCCTCCCTCCCTTCCTTCTTTATTCCTTCCATTTTGGGCTTCTCTGTTTTTTTCTAACTTTTTGGTATACTGACTGTCTACTTCTTGTAAATAATAAAAGAAAACCACAGCCCAGTCCCATGTGACAAGCAGTATCTGAGATTAGAGTGGAAAGGGTACTGAACGCGCAGCCTGGTGCCTTCAGGCAGCTGTAAGCAGTTCGCTGTGTCTCCATAGTGGTGTGGTTGAGGTCCAGGAACATGAGGCTTTTGTGAGTCTGATCTTGTTCCCCTCAACCCTCCTTTGCCAGGTGGAAATGCTGGAGAGGAAGTACGGGGGCTCCTTCTTGAGCCGTAGGGCTGCCAGGACCATCCAGACAGCCTTCCGCCAGTACCGCATGAACAAGAACTTTGAGCGGCTCCGCAGCTCAGCTTCGGAAAGCCGCATGTCCAGACGGATCATCCTTTCCAACATGCGGATGCAGTTCTCCTTTGAGGAGTACGAGAAGGCCCAGAACCCCGCGTACTTCGAGGGCAAGCCTGCCTCGCTGGACGAGGGTGCCATGGCTGGTGCCCGGAGCCACCTGCTTGAACGGGGCCTCCCATATGCAGGCTCCTGTGGAGGGGGCATCGATGGTGGGGGAAGCTCAGTCACCACATCAGGAGAGTTTTCCAATGACATCACAGAGCTGGAGGACTCCTTCTCCAAACAGGTCAGCATCCCTGAAAAGGGCCTTTCCTCCCTATCCCTGTGCTCTGGCTACTCCTCCGACTTTTTACCTATACTTCAAACTGAAACATGTGGCCCGACAAGCATTTAAGAACCACTAGCTGCCATGAGTAGGGTCTGTGAGAAGAACGAGAAAGAATTGGCAAGACAAAAAATTATATTGTAAAAACAAGCAAGTTAAAAATCTGGGTTTATAGAACACATAAGAACTTGATGCGCTATCAAATTAAGGCCTAACAAACAGTGATGAGCTCCTACTGTGTGTGCTTCATAATGACCTGTGAGATGGGTGGGATACCCCAACTTCACAGAGGAGGCAACTGAGGCTCTGGGACCCTGAGAGGTGGAGTGACTTTTCCGATCTGAATTGGAACTCAGCTCTGTCTGGTTCCAAAGCCCACGCCCTTTCACTTACTTCACACTACCATGGGCCAGGCTCTGTGCTGGGTACCATGAGGGAGACAGCTGAACCACCAGGGTCCTTGTTCCCAAAGATCTTCCAGCCATTAGCTCTCAAGGATCTAATGGCCGACACACAGGCACACAACTGTCTTCGGAAATAGAGTGTGCTCAGAGCCATGAGAAAGGATCACATCTAGTACCATGGGAAGCCAGAAGAGGGAGGAGAAACTTTCTTCTGGGAGGATCAGAGTAAGGTTTTTTGAGAAAACAGACAAATAACATTTAGCAAGTTAGAGCTAGTTGGCAGGGTGTTGCTTGCATAGGCATTGCATCAGCAACAGCCTGGAAAGGTAGGAATGTAGCAGGCACTGAGGGTAGTGGGTCATCATTCTAGGCTTGGGTACGTCAGCACAGCTATTCACGTGCACATTCCAGCTCTGCCATTTCCCAGCTGTGGGACTTTGGACAAACTGTTTAACCTCACTGAAACATGACAAATGAAATAGAGGTAAAACTTTCCTTTTAGAGTTGTTTCAGAGATTCAGTTCAGCTAGGTAATATATATAGAAACACCTAGTATGTGGTAGCTACTAAGTCCATGTTAGTTTCCTTCCTAAAAAACAAGAAGGTAAATTGTTTAATGAATTAATGAAGCTTTATAAGAGAAGAAATCACTCTGCTCTAACCTCTGTGATGTGGCCCTGTCATCAGCCTGGGTATGCCTCTCTGGAGCTAGCGAAGGGGGGTGTGTTGGGTAGGGTGGGTAGAGGGAAAGAAAGAAGTATTAAAGAAAAATCTGAATCACTCATATAACAAACATTAATTGAACATCTCTTCTGTGTCAAGAAATGTGTTGAGCTGAGTTAGAAAGACAGAAACTAGGCCTGGACCCATCCTTCAAGGGGGAGTGGAGGGAAGAGGTTCATAGTCTGGTAGGTAGATCAAAGAACCAGGCCTAGGCCCAGCTCTCAGTGTTATCCAAGTCTAATGGGGAAGTGTATTAGTTACCTATTGCTGCATAGCAAATGACTCAGGGTCTCTCATAAGGTTATAATCAAGCTTAAGGTGGGGTCGAGATCTCAGAAGACTTGACTGGGGCTGAGAGGCCTGCTTCCAAGCTCACTCCCTTGGCTGTTGGCAGGAGGGTTCAGGTTCTCGCTACATGGGCCTCTCCATAGCTTCCTGCAGTGCAAAGGGTCTGAGGGAGAGAGAGCACAAGCAAGCGGGCGTACTCAGGACAGAAGCTGTAGTCTTTCATAACCTAATCTCGGAAGTGACACTCATCACTTCTGTCATATGCTATCAGTCCCACAGACCAACCCCAGGACAGTGTGGTACACAAGGGTGTGAATACCAGGAGGCAGGAATCATTGGGGGCCTGTTGAGAGGCTGAATACCACAGGGAGGTAGAGTTACCAGCCATGGTCTGGCTTTTCAAGGCTAAATCATATGGATTTCCTAAGGTAGAAGGAGACAGGGGGCTCTGGAAGCCTGGAGGAAGCTGGGGCTTTGGTTCACCCAGGGGATGGCAGAGGCAGAAATGTGGATTGAATGAGAGTGGGTGGCATTTGACTTGGGTCTACATGGACATTGAGGAGGTACTGGAATATCTGAGAGGGGAGCTTGTGGGCATGAGTCCCAGCTCCTGTGAGCTCACAATGGCTCCCTGGGAATTATTTCATATACTGCAGAGAACCTGTGGGGGGAGGGGAATCCCTTTTCTTGGCTGACCAACCAGAAAGTTCTCCCTGTTCCCTTCCCCTCCTCCCTCATTCCCACCCTTCTTCCATCCCACCAACCCTCCCTTCATCTTCCCTTCCTTTCCCTTTCTGTCCCTCCTCCCCTTTCCCCGCAAACACAGGTAAAGTCTCTGGCTGAATCCATTGATGAGGCCCTGAACTGCCACCCATCAGGGCCCATGTCTGAGGAGACAGGGTCAGCCCAGCTGGAGAAGCGAGAGTCGAAGGAACAGCAAGAGGACAGCTCAGCCACATCCTTCAGTGACCTTCCCCTCTACTTGGATGACCCAATTCCCCCACCATCCCCTGAACGACTGCCCAGCGCAGAGCCCCCACCCCAGAGCCGGCCTGAGTTCTGGGCACCAGCCCCTCTCCCGCCAGTTCCTCCACCAGGGCCACCAGGGACCCGGGAAGATGGGAGCCGTGAGGAAGGCCCTCGAAGGGGGCCTGGGTGCTCGGAGTGTCGGGATTTCCGGCTGCGGGCCGCTCACCTTCCCCTGCTCACCATTGAGCCTCCTAGTGACAGCTCTGTGGACCTGAGTGACCGCTCAGATCGCGGCTCTGTCCACCGCCAGCTGGTGTATGAGGCCGATGGCTGCAGCCCCCATGGGACCCTAAAGCACAAAGGGCCACCAGGCAGGGCCCCAATCCTACACCGCCACTACCCAGCCCCAGAGGGCCCAGCCCCAGCCCCACCAGGGCCCCTGCCACCAGCCCCCAACAGTGGCACTGGGCCCAGTGGTGTGGCTGGGGCTCGGAGGCTGGGGAAGTGCGAGGCGGCAGGCGAGAACTCTGATGGTGGCGATAATGAGAGCCTGGAGAGCTCCAGCAATTCCAATGAGACCATCAACTGCAGCTCTGGCTCCTCTTCGAGGGACAGCCTGAGGGAGCCTCCAGCCACCAGCCTGTGCAAGCAGACTTACCAGAGAGAGACAAGGCACAGCTGGGACTCGCCAGCCTTCAACAATGACGTGGTGCAGAGGCGGCATTACAGAATCGGCCTCAACCTCTTCAATAAGTATGTGCTTCCTATTCCTGCCCCCCTTGCCCCTTCCTACCCTGCCACGAGGCACTTTGAATCCCTGGGGCTGAACTCCAAGCAGTAATTTGCTTCTGCCAGCTTCGCATTTTGTGGATGGTGTTTCTCCCCAGCTGTTTAGTGAAGAAGATTGGCAGCAGGGTGGCAGAGGAGAGAGTCCCCCAACACACCCATCAGAGGCACTTCTACTCCTAGCACTGCCTCTAACTGGCTGTGTGATCTTGGGTGAGATGCTCCCTTCTCTGGGCCCCAGTTCGCTATCTATAGAATGGATTCTGAACTTGGGGTCCTCAGCCTCCCCTATTTGGTGGGGAGCCAATGTGGTATATAAAGAGCCCTGCTCTGAGAAACAGGAGACTTGGACTCTATCCTGACTTTAGCCAGACTCACTGTGTAGCTCTGGGCCAGGTGGGTTCCTTCTTTGGGCTTCGGTGTTTCCATCTATCCACTAGCAGTGTGTGTATATTTGTGGCACTGTGGGGCAAGGTGGAATGCTGGGCTAGTCAGTAAGCAGGACCAAGCTCTTTCTAGATACCTGGTCCTGGGCCTGGTCCTTAGGAGTGAGGGGTGAGTGTGACATTTGATTTGAAAATAGTTAGAAAATAAATGCCTTACATGTGTAGCCTATTAGACACTACCACCTATATTTAGTTCTCAGAATAACTTGGCAATCTGGGTGGGAGTGTCCCTATTTTTTAGAGAAGGAACTGAGGCTTGAAGAAGCAAAGGGAATTGTTCCAAGTCACGCATGGTAAGTGATGGGTGTGAGACTCCTGTCACGCTAAGGTCTCTTCCAATTTTAGCCTCATGAGGTCTTAAGGCTCCGAGATTCTGAATGTGGGATAGTTCAGACCCAGAGTTGGCCCAGGGGGAAGTAGGAAACACCATGTCTATGGAAACGCTCAGAGGCTGGGTGATGCCTGTACAGGTGGGCCTGGGCCTTGGAAAGGAGGGCTTAGCCTGGAGCTCGGGCCCTCTTCCAGGACTCCTCAGTGCCTGCTGGGAATAGCAAAGCTCCTGGTGTAGAGCAGGCTCTCACTAAATTTTAATTTTTTTTCCATTGTAGTGTGGCTCCAGTGAAGGAGGAAGTTGGGTTGAGGATGCCTTGGAATTTTGAAACTGTGAAATGGGAAAGTGGCCTCAGTTTTCTGAAGGGATTGGACCAAATTATGTATTTGACTTCCTTGGTTCTCCGAGGTCGTGATTGGGCCCACAATTAGTTCAAGCAGTGGGACAGAGGGCCAAGTTCTAGGAGGACAGTCATCTCATCTACCTCCCTTCTTTCTACAGGAAGCCAGAGAAGGGCATCCAGTATCTGATTGAGCGGGGCTTCCTGTCAGACACACCGGTGGGAGTGGCTCATTTCATCCTGGAACGGAAAGGCCTCAGCCGGCAGATGATAGGGGAATTCCTAGGGAACCGGCAGAAGCAGTTCAACAGAGACGTATTGGAGTGAGGACCCTGGCATGGGGCAGGCTGGGCCAGGGATTCCTGGAAAAGGAGGGCTGGAGGTGGGGGGCAACCTGTCCTTTCTGCTCAAACTTGCAAAATGGGATGAATGGGCCTTTCTTATCCCATAACCCTCTGCACCAAAAAGGCCTGATCTCTCTTGGCCCTATTCCTAAAGGCTTCTGGGTGGCCCCAGGTAAGGCACGCTTTTCCTATGGTCTTTGGGTCTCAGTTTTCCCATCTCTGAAATGAGTGCGTAATGGAAAGAACTTAGTAGCCACATGTCTGGACCTGATTTTCTGGGGTGGATTCAATTTCAAATGTTCTGCCCTCACATGTACTTACTTGGGCCATGGGTCCATATTTTGTGGATGTCTATCAATGGAGGAGTTGGTCCATTTGAGCAGGCCAGGGTGGGTCAGAGGTTTTGTGCAGAGGAATTGAGAGTGCCACACCCCCTCCTTGCTCCTCAGCTGTGTGGTGGATGAGATGGACTTCTCCTCCATGGATTTGGATGATGCACTCCGGAAGTTCCAATCCCATATCCGGGTTCAGGGTGAGGCCCAGAAAGTGGAGCGACTCATCGAAGCCTTCAGGTGCACCTGCTTCCCACTAAAGCCACCTTTCCCTATTTTGGGGGGCAGCATAGTGTGTCTACAGATCACCTCTCAGCTTTATACTTTCCTCATCAGAAAATGGCAATTATAAATCTTACCTTGTGGGGCAGTTAAGTTGTGAGGATCAGAGGTAATGTGCAAAAAGTATCTAGCTTGGCATCTGGGACATGGGACTCCCATAAGTGATGACATCAGCAACAATAGCTAGTGTTTGTTGAGCTCTTACCAAGTATCAGGTGCTGAGCTGGGCACTTTATATTATTATTTCACTGAATGCTCACAACAACCGTGTAAGGTAGGTGTTTCTATTATTATTTCTGTTTTGCAGATGAGAAATTAGTAGTTTAGAGAGGTTAAAAACTTGCCCAGAGTCATATAGTGAATACACAGTGGAACCAGGATTTGAACTTCAGTGTGTCTGACTCCATGTCTCTTAACTCTTTTTTTAACCATCACCCAAGGATATGTTTTTATTGATTTTAGAGAGAGGAAGGGGAGGAGAGAGAGAGAGATGTGAGAAACATCAATCAGTTGCCTCCTGTATACTCCCCTATTGAGATGGAACCCGCAACCTGGGGTTGCGGGTTGGACAACACTTCAACCAACCAAGTCACACCAGCCAGGGCATGACCCTTAACTTTTATAGTCTACTATGAATGCTGCGGGGATCAGGTAGACCTGGGTATAAATCCTGGCCCCACCACTTTGGAGGTATTTAGAGGAGAACGAGAGTTGTTGAGAATTTGTTTCCCTTAATGGGAGGTTTTCTTTGCAGTCAGAAAGATATAGATTTTCATGCTGGCTTCCCCATTTACCAGCTCTATTACTTTGGGCAAGGTACCTTTCCACTGGGGGTCTCAGTCACTTCATTTGTAAAATGGGGCTGCTAATAGCTACCTTGCAGGACTGTGATAGGACTACATAGGACATGTACATAGACCCTCTGTAGGGTATTTATGTATGAAGCTGAGAGAGGTGATCTGTGGAGTTCAGTAAAAGGTAGTGATTGTGAATTTTACATGCTAGTCTTGGGGAAACTCTGAAGAAAAAGGACACACCCAAAGGGTTTCGGAGTACTTGTTAAAGGAGAGAGTTGGTGGTGCCAGACTGGGAGGATGGTGGGTAAGTGGAGATTCCTGATGCCTGACCCTGGCTCTGGCCCCTCCCGCCCTGCAGCCAGCGGTACTGTGTGTGTAACCCAGCCCTCGTGCGCCAGTTCCGGAACCCAGACACCATCTTCATCCTCGCTTTTGCCATCATCCTCCTCAACACTGACATGTACAGTCCTAGCGTCAAGGCTGAACGCAAGATGAAACTAGATGACTTCATCAAGAACCTGAGAGGTGACCCCAGACCTCCCTGTCAGCTCTTCCTGTCCTTCCCCTGAGAAGGGAACGTGGGCAGGATGGGAGGGTGGGGTGAGGAAGGTTCCTTGGAAATTAACCTGTGATGCTCTCACTTTCTAATAAGGCTGGATGTTCCTGGGGCATTCATTTATTAATTCATTCGGTCGTTTGGCCATCTACTCATTCCCACACTGAATATTGACTGAGCAAGTCCTAAACAAGAGAGATAGAGCATATACTGGTTCACCCATTCATTCATGTGTCCATTCACCCATCATTCCCTCCTTTTCTCCTTTATTTATGCCCATAAATACTCAAGTATTTTAGTACCCTTTCCTCTCTTTATGCTTTTATTTTTTAAATATATTTTTATTGATTTCAAAGAGAGAAAGGGAGAGGGAGAGATAGAAACATCAATAATGAGAGAGAATCGTTGATGGGCGGCCTCCTGCATGCCCCCTACTGGAGATCAAGCCCGCAACCCGGGCATGTCCCCTGACTGGGAATCAAACCCTGACCTCCTGGTCCATAGTTCGATGCTCAAATGCTGAGCCACACTGGCCAGGCTATGTATTTATTTTTTAACTCAACCAGTCAGCCAGCAAGTTGACACTAACCGAGTGCCTCATGTGTGCCAGGCACTATGATGGGTGCTAAGGACAGTGGAAGGGCTTCTGCAATAGTCCCTGCCCCAAAAGAGCTCCCCGTTTGTGGGAGAGACTGACTTACAGTACCAGAGACACAACACAAGGAAGAAAGCAAGTGGTGATGTCAGCCTATGATGTCAGGCAGGTCAAAAGGACAGTCAGAGCTCAGAGGAGGAAGAGCTCACCTCCAGAGTGCTTGCTGGAGAATTCATTTTAAGGTGGACCTTGAAGACACAGATAAAGTAGGACTTGACTTACCTGGCAGTAAGAATAACAAAGGCACAGAAGTAGGAAAATCTAAAGTTGCCTGGAGAATAATCGAGATGGGATAGATGATCCAGTTGGAAAGGTCAGTTGGAACCAATATACAAGGGCCTTGAGTGCCAGATTAAAGGTTTCACCTTGACCTTTTGTCTTGGTTTATTGTATTGATGTCAGGCCCTGCCTCTCACCAAAGGGCAGCCTCCTAAAAATGGCTCATATGTTAGGATTATTGAAACACAAACAAAAGAGGGAAACAGAATTGTGGCAAAACAAGCAGACAAGACAAATTTGCTGACCTTCGGGGTTTGCACAGTCGATGAGCTTAAATCGCTCTGACAGCTGAAGTCAAAAGGCAGTGTGAGGAAGGATGTTCCCTTAGCACCTGGAAAACATTTTCTCCAACAGAAGGTTTAGAGAGAAGAGTGAGTGGGTTTGCTCAGCAGACAATCAGGAATGGAGAAGGATGGTAAACGGGAGGAGCGAGACAGATCAGAGGCCATCTGGAGCTGTCTCCCAGAATCCTTCATTAGTCATTTGTTCATTCATTCATTTGCCTCTCTCTCTCTCTCCATATGTGTGTGTGTTTATATGTACATATGTGTGTGCTTATATGTATTTTTATAAAATACATATAAAATATATATTTTTATAAAATACATATAAATATATATTTATAAATATATATTTTATAAATATATATTAATATACATATATACATACACACATACATATACATATACATATATACACACACACACATACATATATATATATATATATATATATAATAGTCCCCCTCCACCTATTAAGTAAATAAATGAAATGAATACCTGCTCACTGCAACTTTGGAAAGTAGAGAAAATTAGAACATTTCTTTTAATTACTTAAAATTCTGCCCCCTGGAGGCAACCATGGTTGATATTTTAGGGTAGTGTAGTCTTTTTTCCTATGCTTATGTAACTTTTTATAAGGTAAAGATCATATATGCAATGTATCCTGCTCTTTTCACTTAACTTGCTACAGTAATGTTCTCATGCTTTTTGTAAACATCCAGTTTTTAATAGCTGTAAATTATTTTATTAAACAGATATACTCAGCCCTATTTAGCTGTTCCTCTATTGTTAGAACTTAGGTTATTTTAAAAATTTCCCCTCAGTAGCACTTGTACATATGCTTTGTACAGATTTCTGAGTAATTCTTTAGGGCAGATTCCTACAAGAGGAATCACTGAATATTTATGCTCTTGCCAAATTACCTTCCAAAATATTTAAGTTAATACACTTGCCCGCTTCTTTGCACTCTTAATAACACTGGATATTACTTAACATTATTTTTGCTAGTTAGAAAGGCACTAAAAGCGTCTAATTGTCTGAATCACAATACGATCTGAGTTTAGATAAAATCCCCACACTGGGGGTGGAGGGAGGGGTGGGAAAGCAACTGGTTATCTGGTTGAAGGATGCTGACCGAGGGGTTAAGGGCTCCCACTCCTTCTAGACCTGGCTGTTGTTATGACCCAGGCCTGTGTGTGGGGTGCTGTGGAGAACCTGCCACCCACTCCCCACATTTATGCCATATATCTTTGTTATTCCCCCCCAACCAGGGGTTGACAATGGTGAAGACATCCCTCGAGACCTCCTGGTGGGTATCTACCAGCGAATCCAGGGGCGTGAACTTCGGACCAATGATGATCATGTGTCCCAAGTGCAGGCTGTGGAGCGCATGATTGTGGGCAAGAAGCCAGTAAGTGATTTGTGAAGCTTCAGAGGGGACAGGGTTTGGGTTGGCCTCTGCCACCAAGTGGTAAGTCAGTGTCCCTCTCTTGAGCCCTATGCCCACCTCACTTGCTGAAGAGAGTGGGTGGAATGCATTCCTCAGGGGTCCCAGTGCACACTGAGTGAGACCTCTATGGCAGTGCATCTAGCACACTGCAAGGTACACAGTGGGGTGCTGTATAAATCTCAGCATACTTCCCACCTGTTTGCCTGTCCATCCCAAGTGGGGAGCCAAGCCAATCGTTGATAACCAAAGTCAAGAACATATTCTAGTCTTTTAGTCAACAAACATTGACGGATGCTTTCCACTGAGCCCAACATTTCACTGGGCACCAGGGATGCAGGTATGAATCAGATGTGGTCTCTATCCTTGGGGGCTCTTACAGAGCCTGGGGGGGGGGGTCAGACACAGAGACAATACTTCTGCCTTCCAGTTAGTTTAGGGGCACACAAAGGAGGGAGAGGTCATTTTCAGTCCGTGGAGAGCAGGACTGGCTTTTTGGAAGAGATGACACTGGAAGAGTGGAATGTGGCCATATGGAGCTGAGCAGGAAATGCATTCCAGACAGGGAGCTACCAGGACAAAGGCAAGGCAGCAGACAAGCCCAGACCTTAGTTTCTTAGGCTCATTGTATCTGAGCGACAATGATATGTATCCGAGATAAACATCCTCTTGCGGTCAATGTTAAGGTGCCTGAAGCTGCTGTGCTGGTCTTGCTGACACCTATTTCTTTATATATTTTTTAATGCTTTTATTGATTTGAGAGAGAGGAAGGGGGAGGAATAGAGAGATAGAGACATCGATGAGAGAGAATCATGGATCAGCTGCCTCCTACATGCCCCCTATTAGGGATGGAGCCCACAACCTGGGCATGTGCCCTCACCAGGAATCCAGCCATGACCTGCTGGTTCATAGATGGATGCTCAACCACTGAGCCACACTGGCTGGGCTGACACCTATTCCTTTTTTTAAAAAATATATTTGTATTGATTTCAGAGAGGGAGAGAGAGATAGAAACATAAATGATGAGAGAGAATCACTGATTGGCTGCCTCCTGCACTCTCCACACTGAGGCTAGAACCTGCAACCTGGGCATGTGCCCCTGACAGGAGTTGAACCCAGTACCCTTCAGTCCACAGGACGATGCTCTATCCACTGAGCCAAACCAGCTAGGGCCTGACATCTATTTTTTCATGCCTATCTAGGTACTGTCTCTTCCTCACCGTCGACTGGTTTGCTGCTGCCAGCTCTATGAGGTGCCAGATCCAAACCGCCCCCAGAGGCTAGGGTTGCATCAGCGGGAGGTCTTCCTCTTCAATGACCTCCTTGTGGTAAGAGCGCTGTGAGAAGCGATGGAGAGGAGGTGGTGAGCTGGGCCCCTGTGTGCTGTGAACCATGTTAACATTAGTGGTGGCAGTATGGTAGGTGAAGTGTTCTGCCACGTGATCTGTGCGGTCTTGGACAGGTATAGGCCGCCTCTGCCCTTCCTTTACCTCCTGGATCCTTTTGGAGGTAATGACAGCCACATGGGGGGAGAAAATGTGAGGAACATTGGAGATGATAGGCTTACAGCCTGGGAAGTGGTAGGAATGTCCTGGTCCACCTCAGTAGCCAGGAGGCTTAGGTGGAGGGAGGTGAACCTGTGACCCTGGTTCTGTCTGGAACCTTTGGGTGGCCAGGGTGCTTATGATTTTCAAAACCAAGCTTATCACCAGTGTCCATATGCATGTTTCAGAGCTGGGACTCTGAGGAGTCTGCAGGTGGGAAGGGAATTTCAGCGTCTCCTGTCCAGCCTCTCACCCACGGCAAGAACTGGCTTCCTACATGGCCCCCTGCTTGTGTGGCTTCCAGGACAGAAGGCTGCTAGAATCTGTCTCGCAATGGCTTTCTTCCAGCAATTGTCACTCAACCCTTGGAATCACAGGGAAAAGATCTCTCTCTGCTCAGGGATTTGAGGACAGTGATCCCCCTTGATCCTCTCTCCTTCAGAGCAGGATCTCTCAACTTTGGTGCTATTGACATTTGGGCCAGATAATTCATTGTGGTGGGAGCTGTTCTGTGCATTGTGGGATATTTAGCAGCATTTGGTCTCTATCTACTAGATGTCTGTTGCATTTCTTCAACCAAAAATGTCTCCAGACATTGTTAAATTTCCCCTGGGGGGCGGGGCAAAGTCACTCCCTGTTGAGAGTCGCTGCTACATGCCCTTGACCGGAATCGAACCCGGGACCTCTCAGTCCGCAGGCTGACGCTCTATCCACTGAGCCAAACCGGTTTTGGCATGAGAGTCGCTGCTTTAGATGAAGTCCCTCCAGTGCCCTCTCTGAGCTTTAATTTCCTACTCTGTGAAATGGTGCTACTCCCTATCTCATATGGTTGTCCTAAGGATGAAATAAGAGGTCAGGTATGGAATAGCGTAGCCCAGAGGAGTTCCTGGCCCATACAGTGGTTGAATAAATGTTTCAACATCCATCACACACTGATCCTTGTCAAGCCCCATGCTAGGTACTGGGTGCACAGAGATGACTGAGACTCAGTCCTTGTTCTTAGGAAGAGAGAGAGAGAGAGGGAGAGGGAGAGAGAGATAGAGAAACATCAATTGATTGCCTCCCATACGCACCCCAATGGGATGGAACCGCAACCTAGTTATGTGCTCTGGACAGAAATCGAAACTGCAACCTTTTGGTGTGCAGGACGACACTCCAACTGACTGAGCCACCAGGCCAGAGCCAAATAATTTGCTTTTAAACACAGAGTGCAGATTGCTCTGCTTGAATCTGTGCGACGCATTCACAGCCTACGTTAGTTGAGGCCAGAGTGCCCAAGTACTTGATAAAGACCTTGGGTGGTTGAGAGGAAGATGTTAACTGTATACATTGGGTGCTGGGGCCCATGGGTGGGTGAAATACATGAAAACCAGACACCTCTCTCTTGGTGCTCCTGGTCCAGCAGGGGGCGATCACACACTCAGAGTGCTCCCCTCAAGCCTGATGATGGTGAAAGGCCCAGAATCAGCAAGCACTCTGGGAGGTGGGGGTGGATGTGTGTGGGATGTTAGGACAGGCTTCCTGGGGGGCGTAGCATTCAGTTACTTCCTGTGAAATTGTAAACACCTGTTTGTGCAACATCATTACATCAGGAAGTTGTATTTTCTCCTGTGTCTCCTGTTGTGCTCCTCAAGCTTCAGTTCTCCCCAGTTTGTGGGCATGTGTGTTTGTGTGTAGATGTCTATCAGTGGCAGTGGGAGGGGAGGGAGGTTATGAGAAATAGGTGCCGTTTGGAAATCCCCCACCCCAAACCCTGCCTCTCGTCTTTTTCCCATCCCTACCAAAGGTCACCAAAATTTTCCAGAAGAAGAAGATCTTGGTGACGTACAGCTTCCGTCAGTCTTTTCCCCTCGTGGAAATGCACATGCAGCTCTTCCAGAATTCATGTGAGTCCCTCCTTGGATCCCATCATCCCAAGAGTCTATGCTATGGTCCCCATGCTCATCCTTCATTCACTCTGACCTCCAGTTTGGGGAGTCTTTTATAACTGCGCTGAGGTCACCTACTTGGTCCTGGGATGTAGGGCCGGCCAAGGTGGAGTATGACTTGGGTCTGTGCCCTGGGGAGCTCATGGTCCACAGTGTGTATGTTTTCTGGTGGGCCGAGGAGATGGTGATAATGCTGCACTTTGAAGGACTGAGCCAGAGGAACTTTGTTGTGGCCTTCTGGGCAGAAGAAACAATGTGGGTAGAGGTAGAGGATTAAAGGAAGGGTTCTAGAAGGCAGCTAGAGTTCAGTTTGCCCTTACATCCCAGAGTAGAGAGAGTAACATGGCCGTGGCTCCCAGGAGGCTCTTGGGGACATTGGGGACCAAGGGGAGCCAGTGAAGATGCTTGAGCAGAGAAGAGGCTCAACCAGAGTTGGACATTAGAAATATTATTCTGCATATGGGCCACCTTGCTTCAGTCCTGACAGAGGGGCCCCACTTCCCCTTGCCCCACAGATTACCAGTTTGGAATCAAGTTGCTGTCTGCAGTACCTGGTGGGGAGCGGAAAGTCCTCATCATTTTCAACGCCCCCAGCCTCCAGGATAGGCTGCGCTTTACGTCTGACCTGCGCGAGTCCATCGCTGAGGTGCAGGAGATGGAGAAATACCGCGTGGAGTGTGAGTAGCCCCGCCATGTCGCCTACTTCCCATCCTGATACGGTGCCCTGTCGACACCAAGCATCCTGTCCTCTGAAAAAATCTCAGAGTTGAGGGTTAGCTTGCCCAACCTTCCTACTCTCATTCCAGGAACCCTTCAGCCTCTGCTTGAATACCTTCAGTGACTAGGGGCTCATTACCTGCCATGCTCTGATTATTATTCCAAGCCCTAATTATGAGCAACTCTTCTTTCTAATGAAAGGCATCAGGGAGAAGAATCAGGGTATTGGAGGCAGGACGCTAGTTTCAGATCCCAGGTATGCTACTTATTATCTGGGTAAGCTGGAGCAAGTCGTTTGACTCTCTGAGTCCCAATTTCTTCCTACGTGAATTGAGATAATGAACTCTCCTTCACAGAGCAGGGGAGATTCAATGAGATAAGGCTGACGTAGTGTCCTCCATGCTAGTAGGACACAAGTGTTGAACATCCTAAGTGACCAACCAATGTTAGCCTCCTTCCCAGCCTTTCCTCTCCTGTCCCCACATGCTAGTTCCTTGGCTGATTCCAGTGTCCCATCCTCCAAGCTCCAGTGACCACACCAAATCATTTTGATTGTATATAATGGAAAATAGTGATTGCATCTCATTCTTCTCAATGCTGTCCACGTTTTTTCTCCTCCAGACTAAGCAGTTACAGTTAAGTAAATGGTATTAAGGAGAGAGAGAAACATTGATGTAGAGAGAGAAACATTGATTCGTTGCCTCCCATATGCACCCCAACTGGGGATAGAACCCACAACCTAGGTATGTGCCTGGATCCTTGAGACCCTGGGGCATTCAAGGAGAGTGATACATGTACCAAGATGGGGTGAGGGGATAGAAGGCTTCATGACCTCCGCAATGGGCAGGGGTATAAGGAGGCCAAAGAGCACACAGGCTTTGGACTCATGCAGATCTGCTTCCAGAATGTTGGCTCCCCTGTTTCCAGCTGTATGACCCTGGGCAAGCTCTGAGACTTCTCAGACTCTCAGTTTCATCCTCTGAAACTGTGGATGATAACATTTACCTCGGAACTCTTGTGAGGATGGAGAGAGATCAGGGACATGTAGTGCCCAGCATAGTGTGGGCACAAACTAGAGGGCACGATTCCTGCCCTTCCACTCTGGAACGATTGCCCTTTGCCAACATCTAGAAGGGCCTTTGTGCCCCTCCTGCGAACCAGCCATTGGGAAGCTCTGTTTGGAAGGGCAGGGCTGGTTTAGGAGACCAAACTGAGAGCGGGCAGGGCTGGGGAAAAGTAGGAAGAGCAAGAGGAGGAGGAGCAGGAGCTGAGAGGGAGGAAGGGAAGACCAAGCCAGTGGAGACAGCGCAAGACAGGACTGGAGACTGGGCGCTGCAAGGGGCTTGGGAGATGTAGCTAAGGGTTGTGGGGCCGTGATGGAGGTCCAGGGGGGCAAAGCAGGAGCACATAGAGGACTGGGGGTAGGTCAGGTGGCCTCTCACTCCTGTTGCTGACATTGGATCGCTGTCTCCTCCCTGCCACCCAGCGGAACTAGAGAAGCAGAAAGGTATGATGCGGCCTAATGCTTCACAGCCCGGCGGGGCCAAGGACTCAGTGAATGGCACGCTGGCCCGCAGCAGCCTGGAGGACACCTATGGCGCAGGCGATGGGCTCAAGCGGGGCGCACTCAGCAGTTCCCTGCGAGACCTGTCAGATGCAGGCAAGTGTCCTGGGGCCCTGCCCTGGCTGGGGAGACGTGGGACCCGGAGTCCTCTTCGCCTCCTTTCACTGATCACCAGACTTCCCTGCATCCGCCACACATGCACACCCCCTGCCTTCATCCAGGGCCCTGGGTGCTGCACTGCAGGGGGGCCTGGGAGCCAGGTCAGAACAGGTGGAGCCCAGGGTTTGGGCCAGGGAGTGTGAAGTGGGGCCACAGTCTTAGCCCCTCTCTGCTGCTCCACCTCTCCTCCTCTCTTTCCTCTTCTATTTCTCTGGCACCACCTCTCCTCCTCCTCCATGTCTTCCTCCTTCTGCTCCTCCTTCTCCACCTCTCCTCTTCCCCACCCCACCCCTCTTCAACGGGGAAAAGGAATAGGGGTGTCGGTCCCCGGGAGGGGCCCAGGCCTGGTGCCCAGCTCAGGAGCCCAGCAGGGTGGGGAGCGGGGGTTGCCACTCTGACGCTGGGCTCCTTGCTTGTGGGTGCAGGGAAGCGGGGGCGGCGTAACAGCGTGGGATCGCTGGACAGCACCATCGAAGTAAGTGCCAGCTCCCACCCAACTCGTCCTCTGCATGAGCCCTGCCCTGCGTGCACCCCTGCACCCCGGAGGAGGAGGGGCCCTATTGCTCCCCCTTCCCTGCTGGGAACCCTGCGGCTGCCTCTCCCAGCCAACTACTCTCTCCATCTGTCCTCAGCTCTGTCTGTCCTCACTCTGCCTGTCTCTCAGTCTGTCTCCCACACTCCCGGGCCCCCTCTCAACCCCTGGGCCGCCTCCAAGTAGTGAGGCCCTTGGAGTTGGGCCTCGAGGAGCTCCTACTTCAAGTCCTGCTCTTGGAGCCTGAGCGAGTCACTGTCTCTCTGGGTCTAACACTGTCTCCGCCTACAAAAGGGGGATGAGATGGAGGGCTGCTCACTCCCTCTCCCAGCGGAGGCTCAGAGGAGATAGTGGATGTGATGCACCTGCTGGGGGCACCGCAGGCACAAGGACAGGACTGTTATGTGATTGCTTTCCATGATGCTGCGGGGGCTTCCTGTCTCCCCAGCTCCAGCCCTCAGGGCCCAGGGGAACTTTAGGGTTGGGGATTTAGGGCATCTAGGCTGGCCTGACTCGCCCCCCTCCCCCTTCCAGGGGTCCGTTATTAGCAGTCCGCGCCCTCACCAGAGGATGCCACCTCCGCCCCCACCCCCGCCGCCAGAGGAGTACAAGAGCCAGAGGCCCGTCTCCAACTCCTCATCCTTCCTGGGCTCCCTATTTGGAAGCAAGCGGGGCAAGGGGCCCTTCCAGATGCCACCGCCGCCAACAGGCCAGGCCTCTGCCTCCTCTTCATCTGCTTCTTCCACCCACCACCACCACCACCACCATCACCATGGTCACAGCCACGGGAACCTGGGGGTGCTGCCCGATGGGCAGTCCAAGCTCCAGGCCCTGCATGCCCAGTATTGCCAAGGACCAGGCCCCGCCCCGCCGCCCTACCTTCCACCCCAGCAGCCACACGCTGGGCCGGCCAGGCAGAGCTCCCAGACGGGGCCCTGGAGGACACCCTCAGTTCGCTCCACACGGCCGCCACCCCCTGCACCAGCCCACGTCCCCATTGCCCCTGTACAGTCCTGCTCCCCAGCACCCTCCAGCTCACAAGCAGGGCCCCAAGCACTTCATCTTCAGCCACCACCCACAGATGATGCCAGCAGCAGGGGCCTCTGGGGGCCCAGGATCCCGGCAACCAGGGGGCTCCTACTCCCACCCGCACCACCCGCAGTCGCCATTGTCACCACATTCGCCCATCTTTTTTACCCACCCCTGCCCCCTCCTTCCCCCCACACCCCGCACTCACCCCTGCCACCCACCTCACCCCATGGCCCCCTGCACGCCTCTGGGCCCCCTGGCACGGCCAACCAACCCTCTGCAAACCCTAAGGCCAAACCAAGTCGGATCAGCACCGTGGTCTGATGCATGGAGAGAGGGAGCTGGGGCCCAGGGAGGTCTGGGGAAATCCACAGGAGAGGGGCCTTGCACCCTCTCTGCTTCCCCAGTTTTTCCAAAATACACACACACAGAAGTGTCCTCCTCCCCACTTCCTCCCTGCCTTGGGACCCCTCCTCTAACCCCCAATGGTTGCCATGGGGTTTCCTTCCAGATTCGAGGATCTTTGCCACTTGAAGCCTGGGCATGGCTCGAGCTCTGGGGAGTGTTGAGGACCTTTTGGAGATCCTCATACTCCTCCTCTCCTCATCCTCCCTCCTCCCCCAGGTCTAGCTGGGTGACCTCAGACCTCCCCGCCAGTGTGAGCTTCCTGGCTGGTAGGGAGGGCCAGATGTCAGGGGCTCGGGGGGAGCTCCGTAGAGTTGTGGCCAAACCTTAGTGCTCGGCCCTCTCTCTGACCTCAGGGCCTGGCTCCACATTTCCATGTGACTCCGACTGCCCTACGGGAGGACATGGACTGTCCCTGTCCGCACACTAGGTGGATGGGCCCCCACTTATGCTGCCCCCCCCCAACGGGGCAGTGCTTCCTCTCCAGAGCCAGTCTGTGCCCCAGCCCAGACTCTCAGCTTCAGGACCTTGCCTCTTCTTGCAACGTTCTTATCCTGATCAAAGTCCAGACAGGTTGGGCGGGGGGCTCAGGTCTGGGATGAGAAGGGCACTGCCCTCCCTCACCCATATTGCATGCCCCCCCATCCCTTACACCTCTCCCACCTACAACCGAAGACAGTGCACTTTACAGATATGACCCACACACCTCGCTGGGACAGAGCGCCCAGCATCAGCCCTGGGGAGAGGCTCCCAGAGAGCCACCATGAGCCCAAGATGTCCTTCCTGAGGCAGAGATGGAAGCCATCAGAGTGGGGGCTGGGAGCCAGGATGCCCAAGTCCTGTTCATCAAAATCCTCTGCTGCCTCTTCAGCCCCTTTCCAGCCCTGTTTATTTATTATAAATATATTTTTTACAAACTCCAGCTCCTCTTCTTGCCCTGCAGATCCAGCTCCTTTCACAGCCCCTCCTACCCTCCCACCCCCCTCTCCACCATGGGCTGCAGTGGACAAACAGGCCTGGCTGGCTGAAGGGCCAGGGACCGTGGAGCCTGGGGGCAGGGGAGGGCAGCAGCGGGAGGGGCTGTATGGAGAGGAGCTGGGGTTTAGGCATTGTCTTTTTTCCTCCTTGTATATAAGAATGTATATTTGATGCCTCATAAAAGACCTTGTGCTCACCTCCCGCCTCTGCCTCCTCCTTATGCCCCCTCCCCCACGGTGCAGCCCAGGAGAGAGAGGCCTTAGCCTGGGTGAGGTGCTTCAGTTGGGTGGGAGGTGGGATGAGGGAGGTTTTCCTATCATATTAACAGTCTGCATGACAGAGTAGTGAGACTCTGGGTGGTGGAGTTGATCCAGTTCAAATGCTGGGGGTTTCCTTGCTGGGTACGCACTCTTGGGAAAGATACCCTCTCTGAATTGTTATCGCAGTTGAAAACTTGGGGTGATGAGCCCTTGCCACACAGAGGTAACATGTCAAGCGTGGAGTAGATGCTCAGCAAGTGAGTTCCCCTCTCTTCCGTTCCCAGGCTGGGTACTTCCTTCTCTTGTGGCATCTGTACTCACCCTTCCTGTGGCTGGTTTGGCTTTGCCCTGGATCCTCTCCCCTCCCCACAGCCGCCTACATTTCTGTTCTGGAAGGGGGGCGGTGACTTGGGCCAGGAAGCCAGGCGCTAGATACATTAGAAGAGCTCTGTGTATATACTTAGGATGTTAGATAACAAATAGCAGGAATCCCTTTAGTTTACAGAAGAGGAGGCAGGCCCAGGCAAGCAAAGGATATTTCCCAAGGCCATAAAACAGTCCCTCAAACAGCCTCCCTATGAAATGGAGTTTCCAGCACCACTGATTATGTCTGGGCCTCACCAGAGCTCAGGAATGGGGTTAGCAGGGTCCCAGAAGCAGCAGTCAGGAAATATTTTTGGTGCCTTTTTAGAGTCTGGAATGGCCTTTAAGAAGGCCTGGTTTGGATGGCCCTACTCTTTAGTTAAAATACACATTGATTGGCCACCTCTTACACACCCCACACTGGGGATTGAACCCAAAACCGGGTCATGTGCCCTGACTGGGGAGAATCCAACTATGACCTGGTTCATGGGTTAACACTCAACCACTGAACAACACCTGCTGGGCTACTCTTTAGCATCTTGAATCAATGTTTTCTTCCTCATATGCACATTTAAGCAAAAGCCGCAGCTGGGGCCATTTAAGCATTTGATGCCTCCCTGAGGACCAGACCTGAGCGTTTGAAGAGCTTAGACCCGGAGGGTCAGGAATGAAGTCCAACCAGCACATTTTTGTTTCTTTCCTTGTAGACCAAGCTGCCTTTAGTCATGCCCCTCTTCTCCTACCTTCAGTTTGGTGCTGGTTTTGCCTTCCCAAAGCTCAGTTTTAGCACTCAAATCCTGGCTCAGTCTCAGACTTGACTGTGTTGCTTTTGGCAAGTCACCTACCCGGACACTCAAAGCTTGGTGTTTCCCCTGTAAAATAGGGACAATAATTTTTCAGGGCAATTGTTAATAGATTCATGTGAAATGCCCACCTCCTGCCAGACACACAGTAAGCTATTTTCAACCACCTACAGAAAGATGTGTAAACTTGTCTTGATGTTGGAGGTTCACCATGTGGCCCCAGCCGATCTCTGGAGTCCTCTCATTCCTCGCCCACATTGTGGATATCCACTCACTTCTCCCTGAAAAGGCCTGTAATTTCCAAACTCAGTACAGTTGACCATTGAACAACAAGGGTATGAACTGCATGGGTCCATTTCTATGTCGATTTCTGATCTACAGTGGGTCAGCACCCTTACCCCTCTCCTTAACATTGTTCAAGGGTCAACTGTTTTTTACCTGTGCCTTTCCCCTTGCCAGGCATGCTCTCCCCAATATCTCTGAAGTTTTTCTCTCTTCTGTAAATTGGGCTTAAAGGACCCATCCCTCACAGCTGCGGCTTTTGCTTAAATGTGCATATGAGGAAGAAAACATTGATTCAAGATGCTAAAGAGTAGCCCAGCAGGTGTTGTTCAGTGGTTGAGTGTTAACCCATGAACCAGGAGGTCATAGTTGGATTCCTGGTCAGGGCACATTCCCAGGTTGCAGACTTGATCCTCAGTGGGGGGTTGCAGGAGGCAGCTGTTTGATGATTCTCTCATTGATGTTTCTATCCCTGTCTCCCTCTCCCTGAAACCAACACACGCACACGCACACACACACACACACACACACACACACGTGTGTGTGTGTGTGTGTGTGTGTATTTTAAAGATGCTAAAGAGTAGGGCCATCCAAACCAGGCCTTCTTAAAGGCCATTCCAGACTCTAAAAAGGCCCCTGGTCACATCTTCTGAGATTCCTCAGATCATTATCTACCTCCCACTCCCTAACCTCCCCACCCCCCCAGGGTATAAGTGGCTCCAGAGTGACACTGATCGGAATGATCTCTGTTCAGAGCACTGTCCGGCAAATGCTTGGTACATCACAGATGACACTAAAATATGGCTAATTTGAATGAATAGTTCTTTCTATGCTAAATCTTAGAGTAAGTTGTCTTTGGTTGAGTTATTGATTGATGTTCCTGTGCCCCAAGCTTTGGGGTCCCTTTGGAACATCCTCCTGTTTCCTTCAGCTCTTTCTGATGTTCTCCTCCTCCCCTCCTCATTGCAGTCCCAGCACTCGGCTGTCCCGGCCCCACCTTCCCACTCTCCCCTGGAGGCTTACCAATCAGAGCGTGGAGGGGTAGTTCAGCTCTTCCTCTGAAGAGTTCTACTGCCACTCTCTCTAGGGATGTGAATGGGGAGGGACAGCACATAACAAAGGACAAAGGTCCTAGAATCTCACAGAGTTCTTACCATTGTCCTAGACCGGTGCTGTCCAATAGGTCTTTCTGTGATGGTGGAAATGCCCTTTAGTTGTCCAATACATGTGACTACTTAAAATGTGGCTAGTACCACTGAGGAATCAAATTTTTACATTTGAATTTAAATAGCCACATGTGGATAATGACTACCATATGGGACAGGGCTGGACAAGACCTTGAGGAGTCGACAGCCCGGTGGGGCTATGTCAATACAATATAATAAATACGGGCCCAGAAGTAAGCACAGCGTGCATGGGGGCACAAAGAAGGGGCAAACCCAACTTGGGATGGGGTAGAGTGGGTCAGGGAAGTGTTTCTAGAACTGCCCCTTTCACTGAATTTTGAAGGATGAGTAGGAATTGGCCTGAGAAAGAAGGGCATTTGTCAGAGGGAGCAGCATATGAAAATGCATGGAGGTGTGGGAGTCTGCAATGTATCAGTGGAATAATGAGAAAGAAACAGGAGCTAAAACCGGTTTGGCTTGGTGGATAGAGTGTTGGCCTGCGGACTGAAGGGTCCCAGGTTCGATTCCGGTCAAGGGCATGTACCTTGGTTGCAGGCATATCCCCAGTAGGAGGTTGCGGGAGGCGGCTGGTCAATGTTTCTCTCTCATCAATGTTCCTAACTCTCTATCCCTCTCCCTTCCTCTCTGTAAAAAATCAATAAAATATATTTTTTAAAAAAGAAACAGGAGAGGGCAGCTCAGGGATGACGGCACAGAGGTGGGCAGTCCATGTATCTTCATTCCTCTGTTGTCACAGGTTTTCTCACCTGGGCCTCAGTAGGAGCTAAAGTAAGGTGATACATTGGGCCACATAGTGTCTCCAAGTCACCATTTTCCCCTCTGTAATTGATGAGCATCTTGTGGAGAGATGTGTTGAAACTATGTAAATATCCTATTACTCCTCAAACTTTCACCCACCAGTTTTAGCATTTACAGATGATTCTCCAGGTAGCCAAATAGTGATTTTCAAATACCATCATTCTTTTTACTTGTATTAGTTGGCTTTCCACTATAACGGAGAACTCTCCCCTCTCCTACATTGATTTATTTATATCCTCATGGACTCGTGGTTGCCTATTTTACTCAATGGGTTATATATAACCCATTAATGCCATTCTTTATTTTGATGCTCATATATCCCAGGTTTGGCCATCCAGAGGTGCTCCAAGCTGGCGCCTGTGTCCTTTTGGCAGATCCTCATCTTTCCTCGAACACTTGCTGTTTTCTGGCACCACAAGATGTTCCAGGCCCGTCTTGTACTTTTCCTGCTCCAACCCTGGCATCAGGCATTTTTTCCAAGAAGTCCTGGTTCTTTGGATTAAGAATGGCACTTAGGAACCAATATTTGGGCACTAGGTGTTATAGCCGCTTTAAGAGTTTGCTTTTTTATTTGAAAAAAGTTTGAGCATCTATTGACGATTTTCTAACTCCATCATTCCTTTGAGAGAAGAGCTTTCCCTTTTCCCTCATTTGATTTATTTATATAAGTGTGGAGTTATGGATTTTTATTTTATTCAATGAGTTATAACCTACTACTATTATAATTCATTTAGAATTGTCATTTTAAATATATATTTTTATTGCTATATGTATTAAGCACATTTTATATATATTTATATATATATATATATATATATATGAGTTCACACAGATGCCTTGATAAGCTTGAGGAGGCTCTTCTAATATAGGCTAGAGATAGTAAATGGCTCTCACAGGAGTAGATTAGAAAATGACATGGCGGCAGGGGATGGATTCCAGAACTCTTTTTAGAGTCAGAACTCACAGCTGACACCTACTTCAGAACTGGAAGCAACCTTATTTTACAAATCAAAAAAGTGAGGCACAACATCACACTCATCCAGTTCATTCCGAAAACATGGGTAGGGTGAGTGTGGTCGAGAGCCCCACCAATCCTTCTAATCACAGACCCTCTCTCCTAGGGGGTTCAATCTTTCTGGAATATGATTCCTTATCTACAAAATGGATAAATTGACATATATTTCCCAAGACTGTTGCAAAGTGAGCTCCCTGGTGCTTCCCAGTTCTTAACCGAGCAGTTCCCATTGCATGAACACCTTACTGTGTGTGTTGCGGCGGGGGGGGGGCGGGGGGGGGGACCATCTGAGACTTTTACAGGCAGAATTGTATGTCAGACAGAGTTGGGTTTGAATTTTGGCTCTGTCGCTTACTAGCCATGTGACTTGGGTACATTTATACTTCCCAGAGTTTCAGTCTCCTCATCTGTAAAACACGGATAACAATACCTATTTCATAGCACCTGGCCCTTGATGACTGGCAGTCATCATTATCTCTAATCTTCATAA